CCTTTTGTTATACTGCCAAAGCAACAAAACTTGAAACTCTGACTACATTACGATTTTACATCCCCTTCGTAAGAGTCAGAGGTATATTATACACTTTACTTAATTTGTGTTTATTGTATTTATTAAAACTTGTATTGTAAAGAATTTTTTTTTTACTCATAGATTTTTGTACCTGATGGAGGCGGGGACATTGTCCAAACGGCCGGAACGTCGTTTTATTTTTTAATAAATACAAAATTTGACAGTACCACCATTAGACGTTATTTTAATTACTAACCAACTGTTATTGGACGTCTTATATTATTAAGACTATAGTTATTTTTATTTGATTTTCATATTTATTACAACGGTGCAACGTTAACCTACGCACACAAAAAAATTTCCGATCTCAAAATCCAATTACTAGTAAAAAATTAATAGTAAATGTTTTATCGTGACGTTGCCTTAGGCGGCACAGCCACGTTTTTAACTTATGAACTTTACCACAAGATTATTCATTAGTTTTAAATTCACCAGAAAAGAAAAGAACGATGCAACTTTACCCCACCATACGTTAGGTATTATTACACTAAAACAAGATTTGGGATAGGCACAATTAAAACACTGATATCCAGGGAAAAAGCCATTGCGGCATAAAAAACCCTTTTTATTAAAACAAGTCACAATCGAAAAATTTCACTGCAGTGAAGAAGAGTCCAATTTCAATTTGTATGTGTGAGTGTGAGTGAATCGAGGGAAGAAAATTAAACGTACAGGTTGATCCTAGTCGATGAAAGAATGGCGAAACTCGCGAGTAGCAAAATACAGTTAATGAACTGTTGGTGCTGTCAGCACGCTATTTTGAACGCAGCTCCTGACTGCTAGTGCAAGTAGCACGCTGTACAAAGGACTCGGTGCACCGGTTGCCAGATCAAGTAAAAAAAAAAAAACTAGGCTAAGGCGAAGTAATAATACGTATGAACGTCTTGGAATAAATTTGTCTAAGCACTGACTGACTCGCGAGCTTGCACACGCTCGCTCGTCCGTCAGTAGGCCGAGCAGAGAAATCAGCCGGCGCCGCAGCCCAGAGCTCCGCGATAGTGTGGCTGGGCATTCAACGCGCATAACAAAAGATGACGGGAAAGGACCCAAAGGGGGGGAAGCCCGAGAAAAGCGTGTTCCTACGGAACAGTAAACTTTATTTATGTGAATGCTGAAACCCAATGCAGTGTATATTTAGCTCTATCACGACAGATTTCTGTTATTATCTTAACAAATCCCTTTGTGTATCTTTCAATATTACAAAATATACTATAAATTTTTTACATCTGAATGGCACCTCATAACTTTACGAATTCCAGTTTGCTAAAGTTATATACGATGTCTGTGTACATTAGGGTGTCCTTTATTTACCAAATTTTATTTTTTTAGTCATATTTCTCCTTAAATCTCTTACAGCACTAAAAGTCTACTCAACCGAGCTTTTGCCTCTTGGTGCAATTACTCGCCCGTTTTGGGTGAACAGTTCACCCAACCATAGTGAGCGAGATTACCAATCACTGAGGGCACCGTTCACAGTAAATTGTAGAAGATAACCCAATAACCCAACTTTCTAGTAAATCCTAAAGTGTAAATCCGTACAATAAAACTTCAAAAATTCTTGAGTTATCACGTGCCACCAAACACAAAATAATTTCGCATTTAAATATTTTGTTTGATTTTTTTTCTACTTACAATATTTTTTCTAAATCGTTTAACTGTCAAACTTTGTTACGTATTGCTTAATCTTAATACACATTTTTTTCAGATCATGGTTTAAAAATTGGATATAGGTTGAAGCCTTCCAAGGGGATAAAATTGGAAAAAATTCAGAAAATAAAGTTTTCTTAACTTTACTGGTTTCAGCTTAGTGTAACAAGTTTAAGTAGTATGTAAAAAAGTTTGATAGTTATGAAAGCCAGAACAAATAATTGAAGTAGTAAAAAATTAAACAAAGTGAAAAAATTTAAAATCCCATGCTTTCTAAGGAGGTGGACTACCTTAAGCAATTGACAGTCAGTTTTTAACTAAAATCTGTGCAGAGCTTTAAAAATAAATTTATGCAAAGTTTTAACGACTCTGGGTGCTTATGAAACGAGATAATAATGAAACAAAGTAAGTAAATTTTACATGCGTTCTTATGGGAGTTAGTTAAAAGCGGCTGTTATAATAAGTTTTGATGTAATTATACAAAAATCTTTAAAACATCTTATTTTACTTGCCATTTTATTTCGAATTCTTTTAGATTTAATTAAAACCGTGAATCTTGTTGAAATTGCCCTTTGTTGAAATTTTTCGAGTTTTGAAGACAATCAATAGAGAGCTTCGCCTTAACTGCCCCAGTACCATCGCAAACTGCCCGCTCAAGTGCTTAACACTAAATTTTGACCACTTTGCTTCGGTTTCAAAATGTAAGCAGAAAAAAAATAATAACATGTATTCTAAAGTGTCTTAACCTCAGCTTTTGAATAGCATTAATTGTTTTTACGATTTTTCCTCACATAACCTTACAAAACGGAACTTAGAATGGAAAATGTGTTTTCTTCATGATTTAAAAATTTTTTGTTGACCGTGCTGATCAAAAGATCAGATCTTTTTACTTTGACAAATATTGCATAAAAAAATTTTTTCGTTCCTTACGAATGATAAATTGCGAAACCCAGTAAAATTTGAACGCTGTTTTGTAACTTTTCTTTAATCTGACTGAGTTCACACTGATATTAGTGTATAAACATCATTTTTCTCATTGTGTAATTATACATCCTTGAGGTTTCATCTTAAGAAATTTATAAACTATCTCCATTTTTAAGGAACGTATGTATCACGTTATAATATATTTTGTAAACTACAGCATCTATGCAGTTTATCAAGAAAACGTATTTGAAAAGAAGTGAGTAATATGTCAAGCAATTTCAGAAGCAGGTATACAGCTCGATATTTAAAAATTGCTGAGCATTAGCTTTTTGTAATTATATAATGGACCTGGTTATATCGAAGTAATAAACATTAAGTGTATGTCATAGGATGTCACAACTGTTACAATGAAATACGAAATTGTTAGACATGTTAGTTGAGAAATTTTTCCCCAAGTCCAGGTGTTTAAAAATATTTTTCTTTACAATAGCTGTGAGATATTCCTTGGCATCTAGACCAAAATGTACACTGTTTAATAAGTAAGATGATATTAAGAACCTTCCTTTTGGAACACTACTGTAGAAAAAGCTGTTGATTCCCTGGTAGAAATTTAGAACTGATGTAGTGTGTATTTTTGCATGCTTGAACAAAGGTTGTTAATGATATAAGAACTAGTTTTTCCGTGTTTTTTTTGTCTTACACTATCTCACCCCTCTCTCCCTAAATGTTTCTTTGGGCTTTGAAAACATCTATAAGTTTTAGCCAAAAATAAAAATCGAATTTATGGCAGGCATGCTGACTTTAGAATCCAGCACTACTTTGTCATCTGCAAAACCTAGCCTACACATCTTGAACCAATTTGATTTTTTTATTAGTAAATTTTATCTTTTTGAATAATATTTATTTTGCTTTTCACTATGTTGTAAAAACTGTTTATGGTCTAGCATAATTTTTTCAATTACAAAAAAATGTGTCCGAAATCGATTTATTAGAAAGTGTAGTACAATAGTTTTGAAATATGCGATTTTACAATAGTATGTTTAATTACTATAGTTTTTAGATACCGTCTTAAAAAAAAATGTTGAAAATTTGTTGCAGAGAGTTCAACCTTTACGCAAATGTACGACCTTGTCGTTCTTTAGAGGGATATAAGACACTCTATGACAATGTTGATGTTATCACTATTAGAGAAAACACCGAAGGGGAATACTCTGGTATTGAACATGAAATCGTTGAAGGTGTAGTACAATCCATCAAACTCATTACTGAAGAAGCATCCAGTAGAGTAGCAGAATTTGCTTTCCAATACGCTCAGGATAACAACAGAAAAAAGGTAAGATTGTACTGTTGAATACTTTGTGTAGTTCAATAAGTTGTAGACGAATATGTGTTTGGTAATGGCTGTTTACTTTTTTTTTTATTACGCTGTGGCTCAAAACACTAATACCTAAAAATAATTGTGAGTTACAGGGGCAAAATTGCAGCTTATGTAAATTATTTTTAGGGCTGACGTTGAATTAGGGCTGGCTTAAAAGATAAGAATATATCTAGTGTCGAACTGGGGCTGAGCGATTATCTCTTCTTTTTAATCAGTGTTAAATTAGGGCTGAAAAGTTATTTTCTTTTTAAATGTGTGTCAAATTAGGACTGGGTCTTCATGTATGCTTCTGTCAAATTAAATATTTTTCGTCACACTTTACCCAAGCTTTGGACTGTCAGTTTTTACAATACAGACACGTTGTTGTTTTTACACATTTCCTTGCGCATCAGTTTCAATGGGTGAGTCGAAATATCTGCAACTGCTTTTCGTTTGAGAAAATTACTAATTTTTCTTCGACTGATGATGGCCTCTGGAACTGAATTGTAATTATGGTTTGCCACGTTCTCAATAATGGTATGACTTGACTTGAGCTTCAAATAACTTTTACATTTTTTTTTAACGTAACCAACGCTGCACTTCATTGCACAAGTTTGTCTTGAATATATACATGTATTTGTCTAAATAAAGTAAGGGGTGTCCCTGTTCGCTTTCATGAAACTCCGTTTTATATTTAATAATATTGTAAAAGCGTAACAACATATATCTGTTTGGAGTCTTTGTTACTAAAGGGTCGAATACTCAATGCTTATTGTGTACGGGAAAAACATAGATATACATGTAACGAATACATATAGTTACGATCGTATGTACGTGCAAAATAATAGAAATAAATATTCACGAAATATCTGCAAGCATGTAAATAAAATCATATGTTGAATAGGGCCTTACAGAGGTTACAGCTAAATTCGTAGTGGAAACACTTTTATCATAAAAAATGGCCAAAAACAATAAAAAACCTGTATACATATATTTTATTCAAAAAGTCAAAGAATCAAAAGTTACTAAACAAGAATATTCATAGATTCTACAAAACAGAATACTTTCTCTGAATCCTCAACTACAGAATCATATGATAAGATCGAATTGAATACGTTAAAATAATTTCATACATCCGTAAACAAATCGCGTTTACGACTGTTTTTCCGATGATGTATAGTGGTGCCTGTTCAGGTGCTGAATCGATTAGCGTTCAAACTAACTCTGCAAAACTACGTAACTTTATGTATTTTTTGTTACTGAGCACAAATGTTTTGTTCACAAATCGCTAAAAGTGGTACCTTTTGTTTGAAAGCTAATTGTTCAAACAAAAAAAACTGTAAAACTCGTTCTGCAAAATTATTTTCCAAAAATATGGCTCTAAAAAAATCTAATAAATACCGATTCATCGTATTGTTTTACTCGCGCAGCACGCGACCTAAAGAAGATATACGAAGTATGGTGCTTCAAGAGCTAAAATCGAGAGACGACATTTTTGTTAATAGAACTCTAACAATCGAGAGTTTTTCTCCAAAGCTATCAAGTACAAAAAAGCATATAAAGTGCCTTTATTTCTCTATTGGACGTGATGATGTATGTATCCTCACGTTTTATATACATTTATTTATGAATAGAGTGACAATTGCAGCACTTGTCGTTATATTATTATTTTGCAGTCAGTTTCTGTAAAACTAAGTCAAGTGAATAGTTGTCATTTTTTCGTTTATCGATTGAATGAAGATGAGGCAGCAATGGAAACTATAGATAAGGATGGCGAAGAAATATCAACTTCGACTCATTGGATTTTGCCTTCAAAAGAGTTTCATGGGCTTTGGGAAACTTTATTTTATGGTGATAACATCAAAGACCACGTAAGTGTGATTTTTAATTTTGTGGTTCATAAGAAATATTTTTTATACGCTCAAATTTATGAAAAAATCTGCAAACGTTCAGCATTTCAATCAAGTTACTAATGCTGAATACTTGGTAATTTTTTTTACTCACCAATATCCTATAAGCACCAAATATGTATTTCTATAAGGACCTTAATAGTCTTGTCCAAAGATTGTCCAAATTTATCTTGATATCGACTTTTTAGAAATCATGGGTGTCAACATAACTGTAAAATTGTTAGAAAATATTTTTTATGGGACTCACAGCACACCTTTTTAGTTTCTTTAGGCTTATGGCTTCTTCATACACAAAAATGCATTAAATTTTGTTTGGAGTTAAGAATATGAGCAAAGTCCGTTTTTAATTATTATCAATCTGTATTTGACTAAGACTCAAAGAGTTATAATTTTCTTCACAAGTCCTTAAGTGTTGGGTCTATACTTCAAATATAACAAGGGCAAGCTTTTAACTTCATCTAGTGTCCACATTTAGACTTTTCAACAGTCTTTAGGCTTAAAGCAACAAAGTATATGTATCATGTTCCAACACCTATCATTTGCCGGCCTCTTTTTTCTATGTTACGTTAACAAAATCCTTTTCTTAGTTTTATCTCGTAATGTATATTAAGAAAGTAACAAATACCAATATTCAACAAGATTGTGATGCAAAATCATTAAATACACTGAAAAATAAATTTATAAATTTCAACTAAAAATAATCGATTTTTTGTAATTTAAATTATTGGTATTTAAAGTCTATGTATGAATTGTTAACGATGCAGTTGTCAAAAAACTAAAAAGACAATTACGAATATATAGTCTACCCTGCAGAGCCTTCTTTCTTAAGAGTTTTGACATTTTACAAAAAAAATAAGAGCACTCGTCTAACACACTTCAAATCATTTTTTGGTACTTAGATCTTGAAAAATTATGTTTTTGTTTTGTTTGAAAAAAATGAAGTCAGTAAAAATTGATGAAAGTACATTTAAAATTAAAAAGTTGGCACTTGTTCAAAAAAACATCTGTCTTTATGTGTATAATAATAATTCTTCAAAACGGCTGTAAATATATTTTTTTTAAATACGTATACATTTTTAATAATGTTACAGTTACTAAACTTTGTCGAAACCGCAATGCTGTATTCACAAAAGCAGGTGAATACTCACATTATCAGTTGGAACAAAGTAGTCCTCTTACACGGACCACCAGGTACAGGCAAAACAAGTTTGTGTAAAGCTTTGGCACAAAAAGTTTCTGTACGCTTGAATAATCGCTTTCAACGCACAGAGTTGATAGAGATAAATAGTCACAGCCTGTTTTCTAAATGGTTTTCTGAGGTAAGCTCAAAATGATTTTTTTTTAATTTCCTCTTATAAATGCATTGAATGAAACAATTCATTTTTTACCTCTTATAGAGTGGGAAGCTTGTAATGAATCTTTTCAATGAAATTAAACAATTATTGGAAGACTCAACAGTTTTAGTATGTGTCCTAATTGATGAAGTTGAGTCACTGGCCCATGCCCGTAATTCTTGTGCTAATGGCACAGAACCAAGTGATTCCATAAGGGTTGTTAATGCGTTGTTAACGCAACTCGATAATTTGAAACGTCATCCAAACGTTTTAATTTTGACCACGAGTAATTTGACAGAATCTATTGATGTGGCATTCGTCGACCGTGCTGATATCAAACAATTTATACCTGAGCCAAACGTGATAGCTATTTACCAGATTTACTTTGGTTGTATTCAAGAATTGATGAGAGTAATGAATCTTGATTTTTTAAATCGCTTGTGTAGTTTGGATTATTTAAAAATGCATTTTTTTTAACGTTATTTACAGACAAACCTTATTTTACTTGAAGAGGTATTGGACGTAGCTATTGTACAGTTATTAATGCAACAAACAAATGAGAACATGAGATATTTTGATGCTGGTCCACTATTCCCTATAGCAGAAAATTCCGTTGGCCTGAGTGGAAGGATGTTGAGAAAAATTCCTTTCTTAACACATGCACGATATTTTATACCGACTCCTTGTAGCCTTAATGTTTTCCTTCACTATATGGAACTTACTGTGCAGAAAGAATTACAATCCCGAAAGAAATGCTAAATATTTTGTTTACTTAGTATATTATAAATATACTGTGTTACCTGATGCAACGGTAAAGTATTTTGATAATATGCAACGATTTTTTTCTTTTTCTATTTGTAGCATCAATAAGTGTAAGTTAAAAAAAACTTAAAAAAATGTTTNAGATTATTGATTCATTTATATTTTACTCAAGGTCTTTAAGAAAAAATATAATTTAATGTATCATAAAAATAATATGTCATGTATATTTTTGTATTGTAAAAATGTTCATTTGTAAAGAATGTTAACTAATAAGACCGTGTTTTTTTTTTTACAATAAACTTTTGTTTTTTCCATTCTTCCACACCACTTCGATGGCAAATAGATGGACTTTATACATACGAATAATTATCAACCATTATATTTACACAACTAAAAGTACGATTAGGTACCAATTCATATCAATTGTATTTCAATTTATTTGTAAGTATAAAGTTCTTGGTACGGTAAGATTTTGTTTTGTTAGTATTTATGAGAAATTATGTGTAAAATGTTAATTCTTATGTGTATGTATTATATTATTTCGTATATGTATTAACAAAACCAATTCCTACATAAATTCAAATTACATTTATTTTATCATTCAAACAAATCGTGGATGTTTCGCATTAAGATGATTTATTTTATGAGTCAACTTATAAAGCCCTTTTAGATCACGAAGACTTGGGTCTATTTCTATTCTGATTTAAATAAATGTTGAAATTGGTCCAAAAGATGAACACAATATAGATTTATGAGATGTATTATTACGTAATAAATTTTGTCGATACGTATAAAAATACTCAAACTATGTTGTTATTATTAGATACATTATAACTTATAGTCAAAAATTTTTTTCCAAACTATATTTTGAATATCTAAAATGTTTTCTCTATCGATTTAAACAAAAATTCCATTTTTATTTTTGCATCTCCTTAAAGCCACGTACAACTGACCATAAGAAAATAAAGGATTTTTCAAGAATAATCCCACATTATTAAATCTTTGACCTTAAGACTTGTTTATAGTCATAGTAAATGCTACAACTTATGGGAATTATTTTCTGTTTAAAATGAAAGGTAATGGTCAATTATTTTTGGTTTTTGTTATAATTTTTTGAATAAAAACTTTATTACCAAATTTTTCTCCCGTAACTATATTGCCTTCTACGTTATACTTCACCAATTTAGTAATTCGCAATCGTGTACCGTCACATAAGCCGTCTGATTTACAAAAATTTCGAATAAACACTACTATTGTACCTATTTTAAATTTATGTTTATGAAGTGGCAAGCCTCCACTAATATTGTTTAATATTTCTACGGGAAAATTTATATGAATATAATCATTTGATTCATTAACATCTTTATAGGTTGCATTATCGATACAGTATGCCGAATGCAGCATGTCGATCCAATAGTATTTCCTTTATCATTTCCAGTAGGAGATGTTGGATGAAGTACATACGATTGACAAAAATTTTTAACAAGAGCAGAAAATCTTGAGTTGCTTCAATGTTACTTATATTGTACTCCTTATCAATCAAATAGTAAAATTTTTATTTCCATACTCTATTCTGAAAAATTAACGTAGCAATTTTTTTCATGCATATATTATGATGAAAAGTAATAAAATAATTCGCACTAATCGAAAAATTTTAAGGATTGAATGTTATCAAGGATCAATAGATCACATACTGCGTAGTGCCTCAAATAACTCTAAAAATTGTAAAAGCAATACAGTTAAAAATGTTTTTATTTTACCTTCAACATACATTGGTACTACTAGGTATATGCAGAAACATTATCAAGATGCAATGGCAATAGTGTGAAAGTTTAGACGACCTGATCTTTTTATCACCGTAACATTTGACCCTGAATGAAAATAAGTAAAGCAAATTTAAAAAAACTTTTCTAAAGGTACTACTCCGAATGATATACCGAATATAACTGTTTGATTATTTCATACAAAATCAAAATTAATTTTAGACGATATAACTAAACACAAATTTTTCGGAAAAGTTGTTGCTTACGTTTATACCATTGAATTTTAAAAAAGAGGATAAGCTCATTCTCATATTATTGTAAAATTGCATCTAAACAATAAATTATTTACTACTGCAGACATACATAAATATATTTAATCGGAAATTTCACTTGATTCACGAATACAAAAATTAGTTATTGAACACATGCTTCATGTCTAAAGATAGTCCATGTCTTACCAGTCATCAAAAATTTGTACAAAAAAGTTTTCGAAGTTTTTACAAAAACCGGATACCCAAATTACAAAAGAAGTGACGATGGAAAAAATATCAGTTGATAATTGAATGGTAGTACCATACAATTCATTGTTGTTAACGAAATATAATAGCCACATAAACGTTAATACTTATACTTAAGTATTGTACGGCTAAGGTATAGAGTATATTTTTGATTATGTTCCTGAAGGAGGAGATAGTGCATAACGTAGAATAACGAAAACAGATACAAGTAATAAAAAAGACGATGTAGAAATTTTTGATGAAATATCACAGTATGTAGATGGCCACTATTTTAGTCCCATAGAAGCAGCATGGCAATTGCAAGAGTTCTGTCTATGTGAACGTAGTCATTCTGTATTTAATTTATCAGTACATATTGAAAATATACAAAATATAGTTTTTCAAGAAAATAATGTTTATGGCAATAGAAATCTCTAAAACAGCATTAACGGCTTGGTTTACATTAAATAAAATAGATAGTTTCGCAAAACAATTTGATACGTGAATATTCCAGAGTATTACTATTTTAATTTGACAGTAAGAACTTAGGTTAGAAAAGTAAAAGTTAGGCGTAATTTAGAAATAGGGCAACTTAATATAGCGTCACCTATGGATTCTGAGCGTTTTTTTTTTTTTTTAATTTTAAATCAGGCGAGCTCTTTCAAAAGTTTGAAAACAGTTGACAACATACATTATAGTACGTTTAGATATACTGCTACTGCTTAAGGTTAAGTTAAACATGACTCTAAAATATATAAAATATTTAAAGAAGCTTGCAAACGTTATGCTGACATATCAACTGAGAAAACTTTTCACATGGTTTTTAATATCTTAAGACATTTGTGGTAAGTATATTAGGGAATCACTCAAAAAATTTTTCATTGAAGATTTAAAAGACGATAAACAAAATAATGCTCTACTACATTTAAATGAAATTTTTAAATTTAAAAGAAATTCATGTAAAAATTATGGATAAACAGAGCCAAAATATAGCAGTAAATCTAAAAATATTGAGGGCAATAAAACTGTAATTGATTTAAAAACAAATATTAAGGATTTATCTGCTAACCTAAATAGTAATCAAGAAATAATTTTTAATGGAAATATTAACAATGATACAAAATTGTATTTTATTGATGGTCCAGGAGGTTCTGGAGAAATATTTTTGTACAAAACATTAATTTTTTTTTTGTTTAGACAGTAATTGCTTCAATTTTATTACCTTAGGGAATGACAAGTCATAAAAAATTTTTATGACCATTAGATGTTAATGATATCGCAAGTTCTTTCTTAGAATACAAAGTTGGTTCAAAAAAATTACGAGAAGTAAATGTAAATTGGGACGAATTTTAAATAATCCCTAAAAAGCTTTGGAAATAGTCTATAAGAGTTTGAAAGATTTATGTGATAATACTTTTTCATTTAGTGAAAATTTACATATTTTAGGAAGCGATTTTAGACAAAGTGATAAACCATGAGTATGAAAGTTCTATAATTACTGAAACTACAAGGTGTTTATTTCTATGGAAACACTGTAAAATTATGAAATTGAAAAGTGATATGCAGGGTACAGATTTAAAATTTTCATGATTGTTAATGGATATTGGAAATGGAACAATAAAGTCTTTCGCAATTCCACAGGGATGAAAAACTGATGATGTTTCTAAAAAAAATTAGAGACGGTATAAATAGCTTCCTATACAAAGTAATTCTTACAACTTATAACTAAGTTTCGTACATTTTGAATAATGAAATTTTAAGTTTTATGAACCCTCTGTTGCACGAATTTTTCTGTTCAGTGAATTTACTTAAAAATTGTTGCTCAGTGGTTTTTGGGGTCGCTGATAATATATCTGAAGTCAGAATTTTAAAATTTTCAATTAAAGATGGCGGATTCAAGATGTGAGCCACTTGACTACGTCTTTGCTCCAAAGATATCTGTGGTTTTCGATATTGGAAATCATCTGAGGTATGAGATTGGCGCTTTCTACCTTTGGGATTTGGAATTTTATGTCCAACCATTTGTTCTACTTTAAGTTAATCAAAATTTTTTCAAAGTCAACGATGGTGTTATACCCTTTTCCTTGTACAAAATGAATGCATTACTAATTTCAAGGTCCAGAAAATGCTAAAATAATCTAAACCACCACTTTTTGGATTTACGATTAATTTCATAAGTTGAAATAAGTCGATCAGCATAATCCACATAGCCCATATGCTTATTTTAATCTGAAGAGATGACAGGACAATTAATAGATTTTAAAGATCCATCTTTTTGTCTACGATCCACGGTAGTTACTTCAGGAGGATCATAATAATTTAATAAAAAATAAGCCGGTTTCTTATACATCCACTTGATTCAGCTAAGACCTGTATTTGTAGTCTTGAATACATACTCTTCCATATCCATTTTTTCATCTGAATTTTTACCTTTTGCATTTTTTGGTAGTTCAGAACGATTTTGTCGCATTGTACCGCAAGCAAAAATTTTATCTTGTTTCAAAGATAAAAGGAGTTAAACGCCTGTAAAAAAATTGTCAAAATAAACATGATGATTACCTCGAACAAATTCTCGTGTCAAGTCTTTTACAACTCGTGCTCCCAATTGTTTTTCAGTAATATCTGCTTTTCCAGTATAAACTTGGAGTTGACATACACAACCATATTCATCTGCACGAGTCCAACACTTATATCCGCGCTTTATAAGCTTAGCAGGCATATATTACAATGCTTCATGCTACTTCTTCCCTTGAACTTTATTATAGACTCGTCAACAGAATGGTACTTACTCGGCTTGAAACTTTCTTTGAAGGTTTGAGAGAGCTCATTCAAGAATGATCGTATCTTATATAATTTATTTGACGG